TAGGGAGGAGTAGTTGCAGATCTAATGCTGTCCAATGCAAGTACTAATGCTTGTACTGATGTTGATAGCTATAGAAAAGAAATGAAGGCATTGGTGACTACTGCAACAGAACAACTTAACCTATCAACAGTCAGTCAGTTGTTGCATTGATATGCTGTATATGTATTAGTTAATTGTGTTGTCAAACAGGTTAAAGTTGGTCCTTTATTATCAAACTTATGTAAAGTACTCATAAAACATAAAGTAAGTTAAATATATTGGAGGATCTGATTGTTCATTTGTATATTCTGTTTATTTCAAAGTTTGAGTTGAACACTTGTTTTTAAATGGACCAATTTTTGAGCCTATTTTTTCTAAAAATTAGTTCCCAAAAAACCCTTTTTAGTCCATTTAAAATCATGCTAGAAAAAGTTTTAACTAATGCCATGCTCTTTTTTAACTAGCTTGAATAATAAACTTAATTTTTACAAAATTTTCTCAATTATTTAGGTAAAATTGGAATCAAATTTTGCGTCAGTGATGTTAGCAGTGATGGTAGTTGAGGGTCTTGGACGATCCCTTGATCCTCAGTTAGATATACTTGCAGCTGCTACACCATTCCTTTTAAGGAAAGCTGCCAAAGACTCACTGAAGACTCTCATGAACAAAGAAAAGGACAAATAGTAGCAGTACAATCAAAGTAGGTATCACTGTATTGTTAATATCTGACACTTAATAATCAATCAATTATAATTAAAGTAACAATATAAATAAAAACATAAAGATGGAGAATTCTCACCTTTTCATTTTTGGCAAAATTTGACCAAACCCCCTGTACTATAGTACAGGGACTTTTGCCCAATTTTTAAGAAACTTAAAAAATTCATAAAAAATCCAATTTTAATCGGAATTAGTTCAAACTTTCTACGCATCATAAGTACATGTATATGTATCAGAAAATGTAATAAAAATGGAGAATTCTCACCTTTTCATTTTTGGCAAAATTTGACCGAACCCCCTGTCTATAGTACAGGGACTTTTGCCCAATTTTTAAGAAACTTAAAAAATTCATAAAAAATCCAATTTTAATCGGAATTAGTTCAAACTTTCTACGCATCATAAGTACACGTATATGCATCAGAAAATGTAATAAAAATGGAGAATTCTCACCTTTTCATTTTTGGCAAAATTTGACCGAACCCCCTGTACTATAGTACAGGGACTTTTGCCCAATTTTTAAGAAACTTAAAAAATTCATAAAAAATCCAATTTTAATCGGAATCAGCTCAAACTTTCTACACAACATAAGTACACGTATATGCATCAGAAAATGTAATGAAAATGGAGAATTCTCACCTTTTCATTTTTGGTGAAATTTGGCTTGAGATTTTTTATCAAATTGTCAATGATGTATCATTGACCATTTCTCATTATCTATTATCATAGGTTGTGTGTACTCAAGTATCTCTCATTTATAATTACTAAAGACAGACTGTTAATTTATGATCTAAAGCCTCAAACTCTGTATGACTGATTTGTGTTTATTCTGTGATGAGTTGTTTGTGTGGATCTGTACCCCTGAAGTGTCTCTAATATATTTATTGTTATTGTTCATCCATTATTTACTCTCATTTCAGTTTATCTGTGCATAATTCATGGGGACCTGCTTTTGCATTAATGGCTGCCGTAATAATTTTAATCAAAATTTATAATAATTAATGATAAAAAAGAAAAATTGCATACATTACGGAACAAAAATATCAGTAAAAATAGTATAAAATCTTAGCAATAAATGATAGTCTTTGAATCTTCTTAATAATGTACATTCTCTTGTCCCAGTTCTTTATAATTAATACTGTACTGTTTGTGGAGGCAGCAATTAGATACAGGTAGTCTAGATAATAATAATAATAATAATAATAATAAATTATTGTAGTACAGCTAAAAAGTTATAATTA